ACAATCATTTTCTCTTTTTTTTTTTTTTTTTTTTTTTTGGCAGAACTGGGGATTGAACTCAGGCCCTTGCCAGGCAAGTGCTTATTCTACTGAGCTATCTCCAGGGCCCCAAGTACACACATTCAAAATATCACTCAGTTGCAACTGATTTTCAAAATTCTTTTCTTTTGATCCTCTTCCAGATTCACCCAGTGTTTCTCTCTTAACTTTGAAGAAATAGTCAAAATTCCACTCTGTATTAAAAATACAAAAGTCAATATGCAAAAGAAATTGAAAAAGGATCTACCCAAAAGTTTACTATTTTTCAGTCTCTAACTTATAAGATCATGAGTGAGTTTTTAAAAGCCAATTTTATTTAAACTAAATTTTCAGAACACACACTATATCATCATAATTTTGACAACCACAACTATCAAGTAACTTCTAGTTTTATAAACAAGAAGGTCTAATAACCACAAGGAGTTATTCTGCCTATTGCATTTATTGTACATTTTGCTTAGATATTTTCAACATATATTTATTAAAATTGTATTACGTAATTGAGTTTTAAGAATTCACCTATACATTGCAGCTCCTGTCATGAAAAAGAAAACAATTTATTTTTCTCCTTATGAAAAAATTTGTACTTTATTTGTCATTAAACATAAAAATTTCAAGGAGAAGAGTTGTTTGATAAAATTAATAATTCTTTTCCTCATTTGGCTGTATATGTTTATTAGCTTCTTTTCCATAGACTTGTCAGTTCAGCTGCATACTTGAAAATCCGTTTGAAATCCTAAATGAAATACATTAGGAAGTAATTAGACTTATTGACTTTACAATAGAAAATTAAGCGAATTCACCTGTGGATCTTGCACTGGTACATGCTGTACCCCAATTCTTTTTTGTCTCCATTCTCCTCCCCTCCTTTTTGCTTCTCTTTCCCAAAGAGAAGAAAGAAAAAAAAAAATGGGAGAAAAAAGGTGAAGTGGAAACACTAAGCCTTATGTACATTTCTGTTGTGCAGGACAGCAGAAGCTAGATTAAAGTTGGGCTGACAGGACCAGGACACAGCCCAGTGGCCCAAGTGCCTGCCTGGCAAATGCAAGGTCCTGAGTTTGATTCCTGGTACCAACAAAACAAAACAGTAAGTGAGGACTGACAAGAGCCCGTGACTTAGTGAATAGAAGCACCCTTCTGCCCCCGCATTTTTCAGATGTGTTCGGTGACTCATGCAGAACACAAATGCCACAGCGATTCTCGGCCTCAGCTTTGTACTATGCACCTGACAGTAACGCGAATGCCTCTCGGTCTGGCAGGCGCTGTCACCTGTCACCCAGGTGTCCCGCTCCCTCCAGGGAGCTCCTTCTGCGCCCTGACGCTGTGGGATCGGCCTAAGTACCCACATCTGCCCCAGCAAGAGCCCTGCCCTCGGGCCCCTGAGCCCCGGCCCAGGCGTCCCAGCTCCGCACTGCCACGCCTGTCTGACTGATGGTAGGGTTTGAAATACCACGTGATACGTTCCACACGTGGGTGTGAGAGTTGATCTGTTGTAAAATGTGATTGCCAGAGGCGGGGCAGGTCGGGGCAGCAACGGAGGACGGAGGACAGCAGGCCCCAGGCACAGTCAGAGAGAAGCGCGAACATCCAGGGCTCTGCACAGCCCTGTGGAGAGACTGATTCTGGACACACTGTTACACATTTTAGGAGATACTAGAACAGAGGAACTCAAATGTTCAAATGCCAAGTAGTGACCGAGAGATGGCAGGGTTACTCGTCCTGACCTGAGGAGTGCGTATCGTGCTCACGTGTCACCACGTACCATTACTGTGGGTTGATCAGATATTTCTGGGGGAAATATTAAGTGTACTGATTTAATAACTGAACATTATTATGCATATATTGAATTATCACACTGTAGTCCTTCAATTTGTATAATGAGAAAAATGTTTAAAAGCTTTCAGAAGCATTCCTCATTGTGATGGTTAGTACTTCGGGTCAACTTGACAAGTTTGGAAGCTTAGCGGCGTGACTCAGCAGGGGGCCTGGGTCCTCGCTTTGTAAGCGTCCTGAGCCTATGCAAGAGGCAAGAGGAGGGCAGGAGAAGGTGTGGGCGCTGCACCCGCCCAGGGCACATAGCTCACTTACAATACAGGGAGGAAGCGAGGCTTGCTCTGGCGCCAAGCCTCTTGCCGCTTTTGCCGTCTTCCGCGGTCTTGAGCTGCCGCCCCCGTGCCAGGCCTCCCTGCCTGGGAGCCAGCCGATGGCTGACTGCAACCTCCACAAGTTCTGAGCTAAGTAAACCTTTCCTTCCTTAATTTGGGGTGTTGGGAGTTTGGTCTCAGCATTGAGAGAAAAGTAACTGAGGTGCCCGTTTTGGTCACAGGCTCCGTACTTCACTCGAGAGAGCATTCTTCCTTAGAACTTGGCCATTGCTTCTTTGATTCATTGCCTGCCTTATGCCTTTTTCTGAAGGCAGCCTGCACAGCAAACTGTGGGCAATCCAATCCTCTGACACAAATATTATTGTATGTGTATATGTGTTCGTGGATGTACACACGTGTGTGTGAGTATGCACAACAAATGACTCACAAACAAAAGAAAGACACGTCAGCAACCCGAAATTCTGATACTTAGTTCATGCAGCTAGGTATATGAGTGATAAGAAGGGATTAAGGGATCAAAGCACTGGGGATTAGGAGCTAGACAACAGCACGACTGAATGAACACAGAGATGAGCCTTTTCCTGTAAATTAATGTCATTAAATTAAGCTAGCAATCTAAAGGCTAATTGAACAGAGCCACAACTCACTTATAACCCTCCAATTCATTCATGAGTACACACTTAAATTAATGAGAATTTTAAAACACACCTCTGCAATATCTGTGCCGTAAGCCTCTGAAGCAAAGCTGTGAACTACAAATTCATCTTCTGCAGGAGAGAAAGCTGAAGCACACTGAAGATTTTGCATACCAAATATATTCCAAAAACTGCACTCTCAATCAGTAAACTACAGCTTGGTAACTGAAAAGTAAGGAAGCAAGGCCAAGAGAGACTAGCTTTAAGAGAAGCCTATGAGCTGGGGAGATGGCTCAGTGGAATAAGTGCTTCCCTAGCAAGCCCAAGGGTCTGAGTTCAATCCCCGGTTCCGCAAAAGTCAAGAAATTAAATGATAAATAAATAAATGTTTAAAAAAAAAAGAAAGAGAAGCCCAGTTATACTTTCACTAACTAATCAGTTTTTGGTGGTCAGCAAAAATAAATAAATAAATAAATAAAATAAAGCCAAAAAGGCACTATCTAAATGCTACTGTGTGTCAGAAAACATGGTTTATTTGTTCTGATTGTAGATATTTTGGTTAAATTATAGTAACCAAAACCAAGGAATATAAGAATATTTCTCTCTGTCTGCCTCTGCCTCTGTCTCTGTCTCTCTCCCATTCTCTCTTTCTCCCTCTCTGACACGATATCTCCTTCTCTAGTTCATGCTGGCCTTGCATTCACTGTGTAGCTCAAGGTGGCTCAGACTTTCTGGGGCTTACCGGCCCCACCTCTAAAAGCTGGGGATGCAGGTGCATGCCAACACACCTACCTTAAGAATATTTTAAGGACTCAGAAAAGAAACTTCCATTCTTGGACATGATGCAGTGATTAATGGCAAAGCACATGAACAGACTGATTTAAAACTTCATTAGATAATTAGCTGGACCGGTTATAGTTTATGCCAACAGTCTATTTGCCCTTTTATCAAGGAGTTAAGTTACCCAACTAAGGAACAACAGGAAGACGCTCACATCTAAAATTGGGAAATGAAGGTTAGGAAGTTGCGAAGAATGATTACAGAATGTGTTAGTACAGAAAAAGAAGAAAGGCTAGTAGGTAATGCAGGAGCAAAAGTGACTAGAAACAGTCACTTTAAAAGATTAAGTTCATTTTGTTGTTTGCTGATGAATATAGCATTCCGTGACGCAGCATGCCTGCATTTAGTTTACCAGTAAACATGCTAACATTGGATGAGCAAAACACCATGGGGCACTTAGTCATCATAAGATACAAAATTAGAGAAAAATTAGTAAGTGTGAATAATAAGTCAAAATATGTGTTTCCTTTATATATACCACTTTCAAGGCACTTCTCATAGATGTTTCTCCCAGAAGTAGTTCTGGTTAGTTAATCAAATCGTCTCCCATAACTTCAAGTGCAGTCCCCTACATTTTTAACTTTTTTTTTTTCCGCTAGCACATATTTGTCATAGAGATCGATGGTATTCCTCCTAGGGTATCTGCACCACACAGAATCCTGATGTATTGAGTCCCATACCTGGCTAGCGTCAGGGGCTGGTCTGAGTGGACACTAAGGAAGGGAGCACACAGACTGGAAAGGATCTAAGGCTTCAAAATTCTTAGCACACAGCAGGCGGTTGATGTGTGTCACATTGTTGCATCACACTTACTTTATTAAAGTTAAAATTAAAGCTATTCCTGTTGAAAAGGCATAAGCTATAATACACTTCTGTCACAGATATCAACAGATCTGGGCCTTTGCTCTAAATTACATGTCCAGCCTTTTTTTATTTTTTGTTTTGAGACAAGGGCTCTCTAAATCGCACAAGATAGGCTCCAATTTATGTCCTCTGTCCCAAAACCCAAAAGTACTGGAATTGCAAGTGTGCTCCAAAATACCCAGCTCTCCCAGCTTTGTTACCACAGAGGCAGTCCAAGGGTTCTATAGCTATATTAAGAGTAATTTAAGCTAAGAATTTTCACAATATTTATTGGTAAAACTATAGATCAATTTTAACAGTAGTAGAGCTCCAGAGAACAAATATGCAATAGGAAAAAAATTATAGCAGTGTAATTTTATTAGCTATGTGGCTAGTAATTAAATAATGGCAAGATTTCAGTTAGACAAGCAATGAAACTTGAGACCATTCGTATGACAACTCCTGATTCAGACATAGTTAGCCGGGATTTACTTGAACAACCAGACTTGGCTGAACAGGAAATAGGAGGAATATATATAAGGCTCTGACCTTCTTTCTCTGTCCACCTTCCTTCTTCCAGCGGATGAAGCAAACACCTCCTCCTGCTGCAAGAACCAACAGAGGTAAGCGGTAGCTCCTCTACTTCAGGATGAGCGTTTTGTTGTGTTAGTACATTTATAACTGGATGGTGCAAAATGGTACATTCAATGCAGAGAGACCTGCTTTCCACAACTCTATTGATGATGTATGCTGAGACTATCTTAATAAACTTTATTTTCAGCTAAGAAAGTAGTATGTTAGTAGCTACATTTTTTGAAAAATCTCTTTATCCAATTTGATAATGAAGTATAACTTGTTCATTCTATAAGCAACAATATAATTAATTTTCATGCATAAAAGATTATATTAGAATCCTTTGTTATAGTATATAGATTAATTATATTATTACAATTGCTGTTAATAGAAAAATTAAAAACTGCTTTTATTGAGAAATAAATTTTACTACTCATAACACATCTAATGATGCCTTAATACAGACAATATTAGATTAAACATGACAAATCATCCTTGCTAATAGCTTTAAATTGGTCACATCAAAGTTATAGCAGCGTCTTTGAGATAAAAATATTTTGTTAATGATCACCAAGATGTAACAGAATTTATCCCATGAAATGTATATAAATTGAAAAAGAAAGAAAGACTTTATAAGTTTTCTAGTCGAATTCCAGTGTTCTTAGGTTTCCCCATTTTCTGGAGGTAATTTAAATATAATATATATGTAATATATTATATATATATATGAAACAATTTCCACAGAAAACTTTGTATATTATGGCAAATAAAAACCAATTCTGGAGAATATTTGGATACAACGGAACTACTTTAGGACAACAGGAGAGGAGTCATATTCCGCACCAGGGAAGATTGTGCTTCTAAATTATTCCCACTTTTCCCCTCTCTGCTCAGGGGCCATCCACGAGCTCCAGGACTACTCAGATTTTTTTTTTCCGGAACCAGGAATTGAACTCAGGACCCTGCGCTTGCCAGGGAAGCACTTATTCTACTGAGTCATCTCCCCGGCCCACTACTCAGACTTTGCCAGAGCCCGTCAGTCTCTGCTAGTTAAGACATAGCCTAGGATGTCTGGCCGTGTGGTGAAACTTCTGAAGGCAGATCAAAGGCTGTTAAGTTGATGGAGCATTTAAAGCCTGTGAGCTACTTGCTAATACTGCGCTGTGGGGCGAACTGGAGGCCCTGGTTGGAGCGCAGATAATTTTCAAGCAGTGTAAATCACATACAGCTAAGAAAACCAGAAATACTGTTTAATGGATTCAAGGAACTAGGAAGGTTTTCATTCTTGAAAAGGAAAGAGGTGCTTCTCGAGAACTTCCAAGGGAGCTCGGTTTCTTTGGGTAGCTCCCCCAGTATCTCACATGTGGGGTCCAGCAGGTTTGCAAATTGTTTACTTGCATGAGTGCTTCCTGCATCATAGGTTCCTGCTGAGATGAAAGTGATCAGAAAGAGGATTTAATATTAGATTTGAAGTTAGGGAACGCTGGTTTTGACGCCTGTCTGTGCTAAGGCCTGCCTGTGAAGGTATCCACAGACACACCGCACGCATTCCACACACGTGCGCTGGTGTTTTTAGTGACATCTTCTGATCTGCAGAAGCCTTTAACATTTTCCTGTGCTGCTCATTATAGCAATGAGGGTTTTGAAACCAATCTGGCTGGACTGATCAGATGGTTCTGCTACTTGGAGGTTTACAATTTTTCGCTATTAATTCTGTCATCCTAGGATTGCCATTGGTAAATCACAGTACTGAGTAACAGCGTCTACCGTGGTGCTGACTAGACTTACAAATAAGTCCATAGAGAGTGACACAGTGCCTGGCGCAATACAAAATCACCATACATTCCTTAGTGCGTAGAGCTAAATTGTGGTAGAGGGATATGGCCATGAAAAGTTGCATATAAATTATTTTATTTATTTATAAATTGAATCCATATACATCTACCTTTAAAGACAATGGTTCAAAGGACAAAATTTTAATGTCCTATTATTTTATTATAATTTTAAATTTTTTAATTAATTGATTTTTCATGACTCCCTAGAAGGAGTCAGGTTTCCCAACACCATATGCCATGTAATTTGTCCTTCCCCCAGTTTTTAATGCCGCCTTGTTTGCTCTGTCACTGACCCATCCCAACCACCTCCATTAGGCCATTCTTAAGTTCTGTTCCTACAATGACATTAATGTCATTTTCACCACCAGAGCGTTGGCATCTCTGAGTGACCACTGTGAAAAGCCCTGGCAAGGTGCGGCAGTGACGCTCTGCTCTTGAGACTTATTCAGGGTTCCTTTCTCGAGCACTGTGGATCTGTCCCAGAGCCTTCTCACTGAGCTACCTGCCTTTCATTGTTCTGTCATTTTGAGACGGAGCCTTGCTGACCAACTAAGTTCTCCGTGGTGGTCTCCAATCTGCAATCCTCCTGTCTCGGCCTCCCAGAGAGCTGCTGTGACAGGCCTGTGCTAACACAGGCTTGAAGACTTGCTTATTCCAAAACTAACCTTAGTTTTTATTCAAACGGTAACTGCAAGTTAGTTTCATTAAGATTATTATGTTAGTACACTATCAATTAAGAATGTAAAAATTTAGTTTACCAAAGTCCTTTTTATTAGCTTGCGGAGTATTTTATTTTATTTTTGTATTTTAGGGAAAGGTCTACATGGTGTTCAGGGTCTCACTACTAGATTGGACTCATAGTGATCCGCCTGTTTACAGCCCCCAAGAGCTGGGATTACAGGCGCGTGCCACCACCCCTAGTCTCAATTGCCATCTTAGTGAGCCCTTGGGGCAGGGCTGGCATGGCAGGCCTGGGGATTGAACCCCTGGCCCCTGCGCCTGCTTGCAGGTGCTTTAATTCTCTGAGCCATTTGGCCAGCTTAGTAGAGTATTTTAAATTTTCTCAAAAAAGGTGTTTTTGCTTTCTATTGTTTGTGCAACACTTCATTATGTGTGGTGTTATTCAAATCTTATTTTCTGCTTAATTCCTCCACAATTAGACAACAGTTGGCACAGCAAATTTGTTGATCATAGTGTGTTCTCTAGACAGTGGACCATATTTTTAAAAAATACCATTTTACCTTTTCAGGGACAAGACTTACCAATGTCACATATATTCTTTGCTCTTTCAAGACTTTATTAGCGTTGCTCAGAAGCATGTTAAGTATTACTATTATTCTTTATATTCTCAATACCACATTAAATGGGGTGTGCCTAGAGTTTTTTAATAACCGTTTACTTGTTCTGTATATTCAGTAGCTTATTGACACCAAATTAATTATCTTACTCTATTCAGAATAATGGACCCATTTGATAAATGAGAAGCAAAATTCCTAACCAAAAAAAAAAAGTTCTAATTTCAAACACAGGGTAAAAGCATAATCTATGAGTCATACCAAGGTTGCAAGCATATTTCAGAATGATAAAACATGATGGTCAATTATTTTTAATATTAATAAAGAAATCAGGCAACAAAAACATTATTGAATACAATCCCTACATATAGCTTAAAAATAAAAAAGGCCAAAATAAAAAATCTTTCATTTGGTAGAAATAGTATACTAAATATCAACAGCAAGTCCACGGATTCTTTGAATTGCGTGACCCTCAAGTTTGGGTGCAGACAAGGAATAGCTACAACCGCATAGCCCTGGGGAGTCTTGCTACACATATCTTTATTTCTTCGAGTTGGTGACCTTTTTAATCTTGATTTTCTTTAGTTCTTCATGCACAGTGGTTTGTATGTTTCCTGGATGTTATCATCCTGACATTTAGCGTCAGGGCTAGCGTCTGTGCTGTTGCTGCAGAATTTTTCTATAAATAAAAAGGAAATGATTGTCTTGAGGTAGGCGCAAGAATTACACGTTACTATTTTCATTGCATCTTCACACCAGCCCCTCCGCATGTTGTTAAGGTTTGTATCTAGAAGCTCCCAAGAGCCTCCTGCGCTCTTAAGCAGGGATGTGGGAAGAGGACGGGATGGTGGGGTCTTCGTAGCCCACCTGCCGTCAGGAGGGGGTGCCTGTCGGAGGGGCAGGCTTCCGGGGTGAGGCCAGGGAGTGCATCTTCTGTACTGGCTCCTCACTCTTCTGTTTGCTTCTGGCCACCGTGAGGTGAGGCTCTCTCCTCCATCCTGGCACTTCTGCCTTGCCTTCCTGTGTTTAGGCCTGATGAACACAGACCGACACTTATGCTCTGAAAACTGAAGGAAACCTCTCCTCCTCTCTTCTCTGGATGGCGGATGTCACCTGCTGTATCCCAGGGACAAGAAAGTTAGCAAGGCACACACATAGTCGTACACCGGTACACAAAGAGAGACACACATACCCATAGCAAAGACCATGCAATTTTCTGGTTACTTTTTGCTACTTGTTTCCATTTCATTTTTTATAATTCCTCTGAAATTAATTCTGAGTTGGCGCAAAAAGTCTTGATTCAGTGATCTGTTAAAAGCTAACTTTTTATTTATTTATTTTTATTTTATTTTATTTTATTTTATTTTATTTTATTTTATTTTATTATTTTATGAAACTGGGGATTGAACTCAGTTCCTAGCACTTGCCAGGGAAGCGCTTATTCTACTGAACCATCTCCAGCTCCCAAAAGTTAACTTTTTAAATGTGTACTTTGATTAATTCTTTTATCAACTAAACAAAATTTTCTTGTTACTTAATACATAATGATAACAAGTGAGAAAACTTTTTGTTTTTTAAAAAAAATGCTTCAACAGTAGTTGTCTTAACATCAGTAAGTAGTACATCTTGTACTTTAATGAACATTTATTTGTATTTTAGAAACCCAGGTCTGCTCTACTATAGATAGATTCATAATTAAATAGCAGCAAACCCTAAGGATCAGAAATTGCAAATCTTTGATATTTCTGCATTTGCTTTTTTTCTGCTCATATACTAAAATTACTGGGGTCTTTAAAGAAGGAAAAATACAGAAGGAAGAGTGGAAAGCAAAATTATTTGCCTATAACAAAATAAGTCTTTTACAATAAATGAATGTAAATTCAGGCACAATTTGTTCCTCAGAAACAGCAAAAGAAATGTATAACTGCGCAAATTTAGAAATTGCATCAAGACCGGTGAATGACAGCATCAGTTAGGGATGGTTGTTTTTCCCAGTTCTTTCCAAAGCCTTCAGAGTTGCTCCCCAGATGTAAACTCCCTGCTTACAGCAGGCCGTAGGAAGCCTTTAGGTGGGATGAGCTGAAGGCTCTGATGATGTTGATGAATCTTTGTCTGATCCACCACAGTTGAAATGTTTACCTCCTCAGCCGCAAGCAGTTTAGATTTCTCACCGTCTTTCTCAAAAAACCACTACAACGGGTCAGGGTAAAGAAAAATACAGCTTGATCACCTACTTTTGCACATGTGGGAAGAGTTCCACAGCTCAGGCCTTGGCGTGGGAGTGACAGGCTTCCCCATGAGTGCAGGGTCCTGGAGGAGGAGCTGTGTCCTGCTCACTTGCTCGTGCTCAGCGGTGACTAAAAAGCTGTCATGGATGGAGTATGCAAAACATGGTCCCATGCAGCATAGTCAAAACAGTAAAAGGCAAGAACAACACTTGCCTCATTGTCTCTGACTTAAAAACAAAAGGAGAACCTGTTTTTCTTTTGCTATCAAACTGACCAAGAGACCTATAGGAAGCTATTTCGAGCAGATTTGACTGCCCAAGAGAACGAGGATAAAGAGTGAATCCTTTGGAGATGTACAAAAGGTCTCTGCAAGTTGACCAGTTGGCTCATACAAATGGTTACTCCCTAACCACAATGCATTTTTGTAACTTACAGTATAGTTATGAGATAAAAGCCAAATGCATACGAACAGATGGATAGAAACAATGAACTGTGCTTCAATACAAAAAAACTCAGTACAATGAAAAGTTTATGGTGTAGACTTTAAATACATTTATCCAGGGACAAATGTTGGAATTAGCCTATTACTAAGGTAGACATGTTGTCAAAGGGGATAGCTATTATCTATTCTAAGAACTAATATGATCAAAAGAATTAGTATGATGTAATTATCAGGAAATGAATACTGAGGTTAAAAGAAACCCAAGTCCATTCCCAACAATTGGCTAAATAGCAATGAAACCATCAGGAGGTCATAAAATACGTGAACTATAAGTTCACCATGGTGCAAAAAATAACAGAAATACATGGCTTGGCTAAGTCAGGATCCATTGCGAGAGTCAGTTTCTTCTCATAAAGCTTTTTTCCTTTGTGAACCACTGTATTACAGTGTTGCCCTATTTTTGAAATTAGATAAAATGATGCATCTCATCATGAAGATAAGCTCTTTCTTTTGAATTTCTCCTTAGTCTTTTTCATCCTATGCCTAGCTTTCTGGTTCATTAGTTTTCTAAGAGGAAGAGATGAGGTCTTCTTTCTATGACTCTTCTCCAGTAGAACGAAAATGTGTTATTTCTAGCCTTCCCTGTGCCCTAAAGCAGTCACTATCACCTTGCAGTAAAACAGCTTTTGATGCTTCCTTAAATATAGCACAGCATCTCTCATTCATAGAGTTGTTGGCATATAGCAAATGAGAAGAGCACAGCTGGGTGACACCTGGGTGCTGGGTAGCCTCAGCTGCAGCAGACTCCTGCACTGCCAGGCTCTGGCCCACCTGCCAGAACACGGCGGAACCTGCTGCTCTAGACTTCAACCTGTCATATCTCACCGAACTGACTCAAGATAACCTAGGTTTCAAGTACCAAAGAGGAGAATGTTTATTAGATTAGATAGTTGATATAACAACACATGGTTGAAATGGTTGAATAAGAAAAAACTTTTTTTTTTCTGACAATTGTGAAGACTAGATTTTCAGGACTGAGTTTTGATTATTTCCCAGGGAGGGATTTCTCACTGGTGTGCAGATAGTCACCTTTATGCTGTCCTCATGTGGTCTCTTCCCTTTACCTGTGTGTGTGGGGGGCATTCTGATGTCATCCATAAAGACACTAATTCTATCGGATGTGGGCCCCTTCCTTATGATTCCATTGACCATCAAATACTTTCTCCGAGGATTCATCCAAATACATACAAGAGTACCAAAGAGCAGCTGCACGACCAGAGTGTGGCTCAGGAAGGAAAAGGCACATGGCCCACCACCAAGAGGCGTGCTTCGAGCTTCTGTCAAGTACAGCACTTCCGTTGGTTGTTCTTTCCCTCCAGCCCATCCTCATCCTGTGTTCCCTGTGGCAGTTCTCTCCTCACATCACGAATGGATCTGGAGAATGGAGCTCCTTCGTCCCCTGCCCCTATGGATTACACATTTTAATACCGGCCTTTGTTCCCTGTCTTTTGTTTTCCCAGCAATGGCCTTGTTCCCAGTGCCCCCGTTCCTGGTTGCTGTGCTGCTTCTGTCTTTGCCTGCAAATGGAAATGTGGTAAGGTGAAAGGTGAAAATCTTTTCGAACATCTCAGGCAGCCATCAGAGAGGGCAAGCTCAAAAAATCAGTTGTGGGCAGTGCAAAGGGCTGGCATGTCTGCTCCATCATGAAGTGCTCAAGGGAAGGTCCAGGCAGCTGACACAGGTTCACAGTGTGGTGACCAGCATGGTAGCCCTCGCCATGGAGTGTACAGACCACTGGATACGCGGTTATGTACCTCAACATGCTGTGCACCTAAAATGACGGAAGGTTTCAAAGATAGACCCCGCAAAAGGAGATAGAATATCTCATAATAACCTCAATTTGCTGATGATGAGACAGCATTTTGGAAATGCTGGCTAAATAATGCACATTAAATTGAGCTATTTATGCTTTCTAAGTTGGTCACCTTAAAGTTGGAATTGCAGGTGGTGGGTGGACTGTGATTTAATGAGATGACATAAGACTATGAGACTGAAGCTCTGATGGTTTCCCCTCCCCCAAGAGCTGCCTTGGCTTTACTTAATTCATGTAGACCTGATACATAAAATTAACAGCAAAATTAATAGTTATTTATATATAACTTCAAATTACTATGACTTCTTCACAGACATTGCTATGTCGAATTTTTACAGATAGCATAAGAAAACAATTATACCTGTTTTTAAGTGAAAATTTACTAAAATTATTGAGTAGATACCTTGATCACTCCCCCATTATTTCTACTAGGCATTTTCCTGAAATAATTGTAGAAACAGGGTTAATCATCCTTTTCAAAAATAGGGTGTGCAGGTACGCAAGGGAGGTGAGACTCCTCTGTCCAGAGAACTTCGAATGTCAGAAATTCAGGTCATTGTTCTCGGTTCGCTCGCTCTGCTTTAGGCTTTAACACACACTAGGTTTGCTTCCTTGTGGTAGAAAATTGCAACGCATTGTTAAAATTTCATTTATCTACAGAAAAATGGTCATTACGCCACCACGATCAAATTATCAACCTGCAGACTACTGATTCCCCAATTAGGGTTTCATTCATGTAATTTGTTTTCTTTTCAAATGCTTGTCTATAAATGCATTAAAAGTTGAATACCAGAGAGATCTACAATCACATTTTTGAAGCTTTTACTGATCTTGAACATCTCCAAATGACCTCTGCTTCTATGTTACATAGAATCTCTTCCATCAGTTTTGTTATATGCAATTGTGATTGCTAATGTCATGTACCTGTCCAGTATAAACTCTTTAACGTATACACTACTATATAATGCAGAATTATATAACTCTTTAACAAATACACAGTATTTTATTTTCAACGCTTCTAGTATTTCTTGTCATGTATTAAAAGATTTATTGATGTTCATTTTAAAAACGAAATAAATATACCTGTTCTTCAGAATTTTTATCTACAAACCAAAAATCAGATAAGAACTGGGTTTTGAAATAAAACTAACTGAAGTGGGTTTGTGAGCCAGTCAGAAATACCTGGCTATGTTCTTTTAGCTTTTGTGAACTGTAAGTATCAGTCACTTCTGAAGGTCAGCAGCTGCATTTTTTCCTGCCTCTTGTGCTAGATCTAATGGTATCAGACATTTGCTCACCATCCTTGTTCTCAGGAACCTGAAAACAGGAACAAGACATTGGCATAGGGTAGCTAAGGCAAAACAATACAGTCAGATCACTGAGTATCATATTACAGGCCTGGAGGAAACTTAGGAAGGTGGGAGGGGCAAAAAACTTTCCCTTGTTATTAGACAAATTTTACAAGAGTCTGGCCAGCCAACACGTAAAGTGTAAAATCCTTTTTTCCTCCTATAAAGCTGCATATTTTGTAATTTGAAATCAATAAAATGGTCTCATCTCTTTAGTTGATATTTTATTGTTTTTTTTTAGTTTATCAGTCACGTGTGTAGTACATAACATTTACATTCCTTGTGGGAGGTTGGCTCATATCCTTTATTCTTTTCTTGTCGCTTTCCCCTTCTCTCCTTTCCCCTCTACCCATCTTTTGATTCTTGTCTTAGTTACTTTCTCTTGCTGGGGCAAATCACCCAATGTCCAAAGTTAAAGGGATTAATGGTTTAAGTTATAGTTACAGAAGTTTCAATCCATAGTTGGTTGTTCCAAGGCAGCGTGGCAGAGGGGCATGGCAGGGGAGGACACAGCAGTGGGCATCAGGCAGACAGAGGGATGCATCCATTTCCCGGATGTGCTGTTCCCCAGGCCGCCCCACTGGCCTTCAGCTCCCAACCTCACACCCCATGACAAACCCATCAGTGGACTACTCCAACGTCACACATGACCTAGTACCAAATACTTGCAAACCAGTCATGTGTCCAAAGAGCCATCTGTATGTGAGTCCATCGGACTTTGGGGACATTACTAGATATTACACAGCAATCCCCTTCCTACTAGATAGAAGATCTAATAACCCTCTTCCTTTTTTGTACATGTTTACAGCATAGGATGTTTACATTTTTATATGGAGTTTGTGCATGTATATGCACATAATAAACACAGTCCTTTATTTCTCTTGTGCCAACAGTATGGATGGCCCAGTTTAACTCTCCAGGGCAACACAAGCACAAAAGCATAAGCTCAACTATTACCGTCTGAATTAATAACTTATCTGTCACCATTCTCTTTATAAAAAGATACAATCATCAAGAGTCCATTAGTTTAATGACTCCTTCAATTTGTGTTAGGGAATTTTTTTAAATAGTAAAGCTGTTCTTTAAATGACTATAAAAGCTGTTCTTTAAATGATTCTATAAAATCTGCTATAACCTACGGCATACCACTCTTGTAGTAGGCTATGGACTATATACCAGCACTGGAACTAAGCATCCCTTCTCTAGATATCAGATTTCTTCGCAGAAGAATGACCCCACGCAAGCCTACAGTACAGGATGTGCCTGATCTTAGCAGTTCCTCGTGGTCACCTAATTGAATGTGACTCTCTAACTAGTTCCTTTGTGTACCTTCGTCATTATAATGTGTTACCACTCACATAGTTCTTCCAGAAAAAGCATAATAGTACTTCTCTGAAAACAAAAGTGGCATTTGTGGCCTAAGAGTAGAGTTTAGTTTTCCCTGTGATTAATTACATACCTATTCTCAAAGCTTTAGTCTGCTTCTTTTCTGTTTAAAAGTCATAAGTTTTTCTTTGGATCACTGGCAACATGCATCAAATAATACTGGTTTGAACGAAACATTTGTTCAAAATGACCTTTGTTCTTTTGAAAGATCAAAGACTTGCCTTTAATTTTGTAATTTTCAAATATACTAAAAGAAAATCTTATTTTGTTTCTCCTTAGGATCCATCATTTAAGGATCTTTCCACTGCCCTACCACAAGTCCAAGAGGAGATTGTAAATAAGCACAACGAACTGAGGAGAGCAGTCTCCCCGAGCGCCAGCGACATGGTCAAGATGGTGAGAGGCCATAAAGGAGGGAAGGAGCTGGAGCCACTGAGAGGGGTGCCGAGAGCGGGCAGCGGCCAGGGACTGCTTAGTTTTGCCTAAGTCGTTCTGCCTTGTTTTTTGCATTTGATTTGTGTACTAGTCAGGGCAAAATTTCTTAACTTCTCTTCATAACGCTTGAGCAACTTGTCGAGTTTAATGGACTGTTTAAGTTATGGCAACAGAACTCGGAGGTCGTTAGGCATCCCATGAAAAAAGTCTTTGCATTTTTCTTTTCATCTTTTATCTCCTAATGTAGGGTGGGAAGGTGCTTTCTATGGGCAGCGCTGCCTGGTGTGCATGTTGGTGCAGGTTTCTGCTTCCACCCCCAATGGCCGCCCATCTCCTAAACATACTGGGTAAGGGCGGGGGACCGGCGGTACAGTATTTAGACTAGGACAATTACTACAAATCATTAGTTGTGCCTCGTGTGCCATTAAAATAATTGGGCCATCACCATCTTGGAATTTTTAGTTACCTGGGATTAGCGTATAATATATATATATATATTGCTTTTGATTTAAAATTTGGAAAGTACCTTTGCAGAAAGTGTATTTTATTTATTTTTGATCGACATACGTTTGTGACACTCATAAAACACAATGGGGCATCAGCATTGGGCTCAGTGTTGAGCCTTAATCCTCCTTACCCCTCTCCCGGCTGTCCATTAGATTCCCATCCCAGCTTTTCAGTGACCTCCATTTCTTATCATCTATCTTTTATTTTGCTGTTTAAGTTATTTACACCTGAGCTTTCTCACATAAGAGAAACTATGAAATATTTAACCTTCTTTCACAGAAATGTAATAGAGATAGACACACACCAATCAATCTGAGGACATATTGTGTGCTCTGATTTTTGACCAATGAGTGAACGTCTTTTCTTCTTTTCTTCTCCCAGGAGTGGAACAGCGCAGCAGCGGACAATGCCCGGACCTGGGCGGACCAGTGCCAGTACAAGCACAGCCTTAAAGAGGAACGACAGACCAGTACGTAAACCGACAAACATCCAAACTTTGTACATGGATATTGCCTTCAAGGTTGCCTTTTCCAGTTAAATAGCTCTGAAGGAAGAGATACAGTCCTTCTGAGAATCACCACCCTGGATTCATTGTTTTCTGTTCTGCAAACTCTGTGTCGTGCAGTGCCACCTTTTTGCCTGCCAAGCAGCTCAAGACTGAAGCAGGTTGAACCATTGCTATCTATCTCTAAAGACTAGAAAACAATCTATCTGGAAGGAAATGACTGGCAATTCGGATCACATGCAGGCTTTTAAAAAAATTAGGAACTCTGACTTCTGATCCAATAACCATTTTGTGCTATTAGGTAGTCTGTTGGTGTTTAAAAACTAATTTTGGTTTTATAAAACACAATGGTCCTGAATTTTCTCAAAAACAGTAAAATTAACGTTTACCTTAAATTCCTTTTTAATTTTGATGACATAGAGTCAATTGTAACTCAAAAGTAATAAATAACTGACCTGTTTTGAAAGCAGGTCTTCCTTATTTATATTTTTAATAAAAAAATTATAATGAAATAATAAAGATGGGTGTCTGCAATTAGGAGAAGACTGTAAGAATTGGTATTCAAAATCTCAGTACTGTAAAAGTAATCTTAGTTCTTTGCCTTTCCTTTTAAAGTGCATATACATGTTTATAAAACAGAGTAGTTTATTCTTTCTTTAAGAAATATGTAGACAAGGACCGGAGAGATTGTTCGGTAGAATAAGTGCCTGCCTGGCAAGTGCAAGGTCCTGAGTTCGAACCCCAGTACTGGAGGGAAAAAAAAAGAAGGATGTAGACATTACATTTAAAATATCCAAATAAAAATAATATTTTCACACTTTCAAAAATATTAGGATAATTTTGTGCTGCAAGATACTTTTTTTTTTTGTTCATTTTGAGCAGATATTGACCTTTAGCCCTCTGATTAAGGAGACCATTATAAACTTTAAAAATACTCTTTCTTCTGGTGTTGGGTCATGCTTGATGATTTTAGGGACTCACTGGAAGGATTGTTTTCAAAGTTTATAGAAAATAATAAATTTTACTATTAATTCAGATTTTATATATAAATAGCTCTCCTGAGTATAGTTTAGAAAAGCAGAAAAATTAGATGAGCTAGTAGTTTACAAAAATAGGAAGCTGGGTACATATGAGGCACATACAACGTATGTGAAGAATTTAATGTGTAAATGACTGAGTCCCAGGAGAGCGGACACGAAAGAAAGGAGGCTTCTTCATCTCCCGAAAGTTTTGCCCGTTGGGCCACGCCACGTGCCCTGGGCACGACTGGCTCTGCGGCCCACAAAATGGTCAGGATCTGAAGCCCCTCCCAAGGGGTGACCCGACATCCCGCAGCTGGGGACGCTGAGTTTGAAGAGCAGGTACTCTGCCTAGCTTGTGCATGCGCGTGCGTGCGTGTGCGTGTCCCACTGCTGAGTTGCTCATGGTGGCTGTTGCCTTGCAGCTGTAAACTGTGGCGAGAATCTGTACATGTCCAGCGCTCCCTCTTCATGGTCAGCAGCGATCCAACACTGGTACGACGAGAGCAAGAACTTTCAGTTTGGTAAAGGTCCGCTGTCACCCACTGACGTAGTTGGACACTATACACAGGTAAAATAAATAAATAAAATATCCCCTACTCCACACAACCCAAGAGAAACGCCCATCCAAATGTGAACTGATTCCAAACTTGATTGTGAAATCGAAGGAAAATCCTCTGTGTATATAGCCTTGACAGCTGGTGGGAATTTGGGCTATTATTTTTAATACCATGTAATTATCAATATCTTACATTCTGTACTTTTCTAATAATCTAAAACATTAAAATAGTGAATGTACAGAATAATGTAGTATTTTAAAATATTTTTCATTTGATTCAGTAATTTCTATGTAAGCTGTATGCAGAAACAGACCTTCTAATGTTCCTTGTTCCGCTCCCCTCCCTTATACTCTTCGTCTTCCCCCATGGACGCCCAGGTTGTCTGGCACACCTCCTTCCAGGTGGGCTGCGCAGCTGCCTATTGTCCCAACCAACCAGGCTTAAAGTACTTCATGGTTTGCCAGTACTGTCCCGCGTAAGTACACACGTAGAAGTCACTGCCAGTAACGCTAAATCCAGGCTAACAACGCTCAATCACCATGTAAAAAAAAAGTCTACAAAGTATATTAATTACTTTTTTTTTTTTAGGGCAAGGTTTACAGGGTGTTCAGGGTCTGACTACTAGATGAGACTCGTAGTGATCCGCCTGTTTACAGCCTCCCAAGAGCTGGGATTGCAGGCATGCTCCACCACGCCCTGTCTCTACAAAGTATGTTTAGAAGAGAAAGAAATTAATGTTTAGAAAAGTTTCCTAAAGTGTAGGCATACTTGGTCAAATTGTTAGAAAGCTGAGCTGCTCAGTTGCAAGGTTATTTTCAGAAGTGCTTTCCTTTTGGCTAAATGGTTTGTTTTCCTGCCCAAGTGCTGTGATGTGGACTCAGTTCCCCTGTGAGCTCCACGCGGTGTGCAGGTTTCTGTATTTAGTGGTCTAAGTCCACACACTAGGAAGTGAAATGTGGTTGGACCAGCGTAAAGGTGAATGCGAAGGAGCAATGTCTTAACTTAGTGATCTAATGTTCGTGCTCTTGCTTATATTGTTACCTCAACCCCCAAGAAGTGATTAAATCTTGCAATTTACAGCCTCCTATGTCTCTCACAATTTACTGTAAAATTCTCTGAAGAAACCAATTAAGATCATGATTTATAGACAAAAACTCAGACCTTCCCCAAAGCATGTTTGAAATTTCCTATACAATATTCTATGATGTCATGAAGCTGCATTAATTGACCTGCTTTTTAATTTCTTTCTCATACGCGAATGTTTTTACTGGTAGAGGCAGGAGATCTCACCAAACCAAGGGTCTTAATATGATCTACTTTTGGATTATAGATAATCCAGTTGATGTGGAGTTTTTAATTTTCTTTTTTCGGATCCGGGGATTGAACTCAGGCCTTTGCACTTGCCAAGCAAGTGCTTAATCTACTGAGCTATCTTCCTGGCCCCTGATTTGGAGTTTTTAATAAAAAGTATGACCTTTAAAGTCATTTTCCAGCAAGTCCTCTTGGACACTAACAGAATGACTTGAATGCCTTGAAAACTGAGTACATCTGGAGCTTGCTGTCTGAAGTAGAGTCAAAGTAAAGACAAAACACCAGCGAGAGAACTTCTGCAACACTTATTTATCTAAATCATAGTTTTTAGAGTTGCTCACACAGCCTTTGTGGAGAAAATATGCCTGTATTGCCTTGGGCATTTGTCCAACTTGGTAGAATCAAGAATTTCACTCTCTTAGGGCCTGCCGGATAGCTCAGTTGGCTAAAGTGCCTGCTCAGGCAGTGTGCAGGGACCAAGATTTTATCCCTGGTACCACAAGCTGTGCCAGCCCTGCCCCTGGGGTGCGCTGAGACAGCTATTGAGACTGGGTTTGGTGGTGCATACCTGTAATCCCAGCACTTGGGAGGCTGAAAACAGAAGGATCGCTACGAGTCCAATCTACATAGTGAGACCCTGTACAAAATACATTTTAAAAAAGAATTTGACTGTCTTGCATATTCAGATGATAAATAAGCAGTGATGCGCTAATCATAAAGAAGTACAGTGGGGCACTGAAAAATCAGTGTGCTGACTACTGTTAATAAAACCCTTTCCACTTTTCAAATAATATTTCCCTTTTTATAACACAAAAATCACAAGGGCCAGCCAGATAGCTCAGTGCATTGAAGAGCCTGCTTAGGCAGATACAGGGACCAGGGCTTGATCCCTGGCATGCTGTGCCAGCTCCATCCTCAGGGGCACACTGAGATGGCAATTGAGACTGGGCATGGTGGCGCATGCCTGTAATCTCAGCACTTGAGAGGCTGGAAATAAGAAGATCACTATGAGTCCAGTTTGTGTAGTGAGACTCTGTAGACCCTGTACTAAATATACTAAAAAGGAAGAAAGACTAACCAAGCATAAAAATCAATACACACACACACACACACACACACACACACACACACACACACAGAGCACCTTTAGATATTCCCAAACCTATCTAACCAAACCCCTTTTCTAAAATACATACCAAAATCACTTGAAGGGTTGTCAGTCTTATTTAGAAGCCCAACTTTCATGAAAGTTTACTCACACTGTTTCATCTTACAGAATTTGCTTTCATTTTTAATTCCAAAATTAAAATTTAAATGAAGCATGTAGTAAACATTTAATTATTTTTTCTATGTATCTCTGTCATCTGGAACCACTTCCTTTCTCTTCGGGGAATCTGTGTTGTCCTTAGCAAGCACTTTTCAGTGTGCCATCTTAGCAATTTGCCCAAGTCTGCTGGGAAATCAAGGAGCGTCAGCCAGCCTGACATGTGTGGTGGACATCTGAGGCTCTGGTTATCCTCTCTGTCCCTCCAGTTCTGAGGTCACAAGTAAGCGAAGAACTAACCCTGTGAATTTTTCTCTGATCTGCTGTTGTCATTTAAGCACTCTAGGAATGTTAGATTTTTTAATCATTTGAAGCAATTTAGATAGAGATAGATAGATAGATACATACATACATACATAGGTACATAGATACATAGAAATCATTAGTGCAGAAAATGTGGCAATAATATATTTGACATTCTCCCTTTCAAATTCCAGTGGTAACAATCTGGCAAGAATCTACAGCCCTTACAAGAACGGGGACCCCTGTGCCAGCTGCCCGGACCACTGCGAGGACGGGCTGTGCAGTAAGTGGAATGGGTGAACCTCCGGTTGATGAAGTAATTTGACCAACTATTTTAGGAATTAGACAAATTTCTGAATTTGAATAACTTAAAAGATATCCTCAAGCTAATGATAAATTCTACACATGGCAGCCTAAGGATTGTACAAATTTTACCATCTTCCCTATATTTCTAGTATGTTCAATACTGTTTTCATGTGTAATAGAAAGAAACACCTACAATTTATTTATGTTTTTTGGTGCTACTGAGTCATTTACATATGGCATCTATGAAAATATTTTGGGGAAATAATTCACTGTAATTCAATACAACATTTCTTATCAAAGACAATGCCATTCTATCAAAATTTGTGGCTTTAAAACATGAAACAAAATCTTTTCTTAGTGTTTGAGCTGTTAGAATATGGCCCGGTGCAGAGAGAGACGTCAAATACTGCAATTCTTAATATAGCAATAAATTTGTAACTAATTTCTCAGCTCCTCCATACTGTGATTAGAATTATCAAGTTTATTAACCCTGTGGACTTTTGATGACTAGCAATGATAAATGAATTTTTAAAGTCAAAAATTAAATTCATATTGTATTATTAGTGCACAGAAATGTCAAAATAGTTTAACAAAACTAAAAAGTAAGAGCTTGTAATGTCTCATTTCCAGTGTTATGGATAGAAGAGCAAAAAACATTTGTGTTTAAGCCTTTATGTTACATATCACATGTTCTCCTATTAAGCAACCTAATTAATCAATGATTGATTGATTGATTGATTGATTGATTGATTGATTGATGTGAGCTGACAGAAACTACAAAGTGTACTTTTAGAGACAAGGATGGTGATAGGTAAGGAGAGTAGAAGGGATGGTGCAGCTAAAAATGATGAATGTTTAATTATGTACTAATTTTCCACAATCAAATTCTTTATTCTTTGGTACTAACATGTTGCTAAAAAAGAACATAAAGTATACCAAAGCTCTAAGTTAACTGAAGAAGGAAAAGCCAAGAGTACACTGCTTTTAGGAATGCTTTGGCTAAGGAGTTTTGGACTCTATCCTATTCATGATGAATAGCCAGAGGAAAGATTTTAAACAGAGTCAGCGAGGTCAGAAATGTGTTTTACAGAGAAGCCTCAAGTAGTAGGAAGACACAATTACATGAAAGCCAGGTAGGACACACGGACTCAAAAGTGAGTGGACAGCTCTACTACCTCAGAGCAAGAGGAGCAAAAAGGAAGACAGGTCTGAGAGCAAAGGCAGCAAGTGTTCACTGTTGGTTACTTGTCATAACAAGATCCTGTGACAACAAGTGCCAGTAGAAAGGGCAGAGCTGGTTGGGCTGGGGAGATGGCTCAGCAGAATAAGCGCTTGCCTGGAAAGCACAAGAGCCTGAGTTCAATCCCCGGTACAAAAGAAAGAAAAAGAAAAAAGAAAGGGCAGACCTGGCACGGCAGTGCACACCTCTAGCCCCAGTTGCTGAGAAGATGAAGGAGAGAACCATCTGAGTACAGGGTGCAAGCATAGCCTTTCTTCCCATGAGATCCCCTTATGGGATCAAGTCTAGGTTCCAGAGAAGAGATGGCGAACCTTTCAGGGACCAACTATCCAAATTAAAACATTCTTATGTACTGCAAAGTGCCAACAATGCAATTAAGCCAAAGTGAGTATGTGATGTTCAGCTGCTGGTGCCATGCTGAGGCCTGGGCTCCCATGACTGCCCGCTGCGGCATGCATGTCACTGCGTGGCTGCCACTACTCCAGGACAGTGCCATTTCGCAAACCCCGAATAGATATGGAAATGCTGCGTGCTTTCTTGCCCTGGAGAGGAGCTCCCAGACACACTGGCACTTGGGGTCTAACTGATGAGGCGATACAATTTTAATTTCAATTCAATTTTAACTAAAACAAGCATGCAATTAATGGCTAATATTTTAGAGAGCTCATTTCTGGAGACATTCATTTAATTTTACTCACCACTTGTGAGAGAAAAGTAAAAAAAAAAAAAAAATCCCCTTAAAAACATTTCAAGCGATTCAAATTTAAAAGAAGCACGAGGTCACACAGTGAAGCCCCTAAGGGGCCTCGCATGGTGATCAAGATGTGGAATTGCCATCGTGGTCTGTCCATGTCCAACTGTGTGCTCAGCAGCCCGCCTGCCCCACTGAATTCACTGTTACTGTGGCTGCTACAGAGAACAGTGATAACACAGTGACTATTTTATTTTTATTTCAGCCAATGGGTGCAAGTATGAAGACAGATACTCCAACTGTGAAAGTTTGAAAAGCTCCTTAAGCTGTGATCATTACATGGTCAAAGAAAATTGCTTGGCCTCCTGCAACTGTGAGGACAAAATCCACTAAGTGCCAGGGCCGAAGCAGAGCCACATGAGACGGAGCCGCGCCGTCTGCTTAGAGGCGACTTAGGCTGCTAGGAGAGCTGCACACATAAAATCTCTATAAATGATTCCAAACAGTAAAGAATCTTCTAGGTCTGCTTCTTATTTTGCAGAATTCTGTTTCATAAAAAGGAAAAATTTTTTTTAAAAAATCTGTAATAACTTTCAATTTTGATGTGTGATTTTCATGATTTAACTTCAATGAATTTAATCAAATTGAGGATTTTAAGAGTTGTATATTCCTGTGACTTAAGATCACAGGGACTCAGGACTGGAATTGAGAATCACTTGCCAGAACGGTGGTTACTAAAATACAAACAGCTAATAATGTCCTCTTCACAAGAATCTTGGGCTGTAGCATTTTTGCTGTAACTCCACCTAAGCAAGCACCTGCAGAAGCATTCGCAGGCGCGTTCTGTGATTCCTGCTTGCCACACCCTTCCTTCCCAGCCCTTAGACTTCATTCTTGCTATTGGTTCACAACTGGAATTCCTAAAGTAATACTGACCTCCTTGTGTCAAAATCAATGAAGACTTCTGGTCATTCGTCTGTGTAATTTTCGCAGTAGAATATCATCACATCGTCCCTTCAAAATCTCTCCTAACTCTTCCTTAGTAAAGAATTGCAAATACTGTTGTGTGTACTATCCCTCAAGCTGCCAAATCCCTGCTCAGCCCTCCCTTCCTATGAGCACACTTGTGAGTCTACACTGAATTTAGTGATGGACTTTCAAAAGTAGACAGTGAAAAGAAAAGGAAAGAAAGGTAGTCACGTTGGGGAAACAGCATGTACCGTCTCAGCCAATTAACCTCAATTCTAGTCTCTTTCTTCAAGATTTCAGTTGTTCCCTTTGGAAATAACCTTTTATTTTGTTCTAAAAATGTAACTTTTAGAACACAGTTTTCTGCTTAGGGATACATGAATCTTCAATTTGAACATCCTCTCAGCACTATTTTGAACTGATGATTTTTTAAAAATAATACGTTGCAATGTTTGTCATGTCTTAACCATGTTGCAATAACATTAAATTTCATAGCTCTCACATCATGAGTTTGTTGTATTTAATGTGTATCAATTAATTCTCTGTAAAGGAAATATGTGGAAAATGACACAAAAGTCCCAAGAAACTATTTATTTATAATTTGATTGATTTGGCAACTTAGCAAAATAGCAATTTTGGCATATATGTATAATTTAAATAATAGATTATAGAAAATGAAGATAGTAAATATTTATGCAGTTAAACTATGTTACACTAATAACTGAACAAATCAGGAAAAATACAGAATAGAATACAATATAAAAGGTACACTTTAAAATGCACACATGGGCTAAGTGATATATATTCAGTTAGGGTTGAGTCATTTCTCTTCCTCAACAAATTCTGTTCTGTGTAAAAAGGTACATATCATTGAACTACCCAAGTTTGTCTTTTAGAAAGATCTTATATGTTCAGGGATTTTTTTTTCAGATGCAAGAAGAGTAGATAGTTGCTCATACCAATCAGATTTGTCAATTCAGAAACAAAAACACTCTCTACAGGAGAAAATGGTTTATTTTTCCTTCATGTTTATGACTATAGTGACTCACATGGCATAGGTTGTTGGTCACTTCAGGACCCAGAACCTCATGATACAATGGAATGGATATTTTCCATTCCTTGACAATCAAGAAAATGAAACTATCCTAGCCTACATTTTTCTAAGGCTTCAGTAGAACTAATAGATTATATTCGTAATGGGTCAATTTTCAAACAATTTTAAAATTAATTATTACTATATATTAATTGTACAAAGTAGTGTGATTCACTGTTACTGTCTGGTTGTCCCCCCAAAGCCTCATGCAGTCATAGCTGGGGCTTTGCATAGGGTTTGGATCTAGTGTGTGTGAGGCTGGGATTAAGGAGGTGTGATAGCTAACCAGTCACAAGTGGTTCTGGCTTAGTCCTTCCTTGGTTTATGGATGTCCCACCCTGGGCAGACAAAATAGGGACAGAGAGAGGGTTGGTGCAGCTGCTTGCTTCTTGTCACTTGCCGTCTCCTGCTGCCTGGCTTGCCAGGGGTTGCTTATTGCCCGAGACACCCCTCAGCCTTCCCATACTGCTTTGGAGCCACCAGACAAAATCATGTGTTTCTGCTTATAAAAATAAGGCATATTATATTGCCAACAATGCAAAAACAGTTTGCTCTCAGAATATGCTACTAATCAGTTTCCATTAAGCTCAGGATTTGAAAGCAAAGCAAGAAATATTGTGGCAGAATAACTCTGAGTCAGGCTTCATCTACTGAATCACTGATTCTACCTTCCACGAGAGGACAGTGCAAGAAGTTGGGTGAGGTCTATAGCTCTGTAGCACACTCCCTCCACTTTCATGTCTTCAGGCCCCTCCTACTTCCCTATCAAACACCACAGAGATTTTTCTAGAGATTTAGTTTAGTAGACCTCTAACGCATTATGCTGTTCCTCCGTGGAAAGTCCAATGCACTTTCCTTTGGAAAATCCTACTATAACCCCTGTTACCTCTTGTAAAATAGGGCCCCACGTCCATTATAAACATTAGAGACAGAAAGTGTGCTCAACATGTGCTGGATTTCAAGATACCAAATTTAGTTACCATCATCTCACTGGAGTATCCTGTTATACTTTAGGCAGCTACGGGGTGAAGACTCCTTTTTTTCCCAAATGGGTACGTAAACCATGGTTTATTACACAGGAACATAAAATGTATTTTCTTGAGCATCTGACAGGGCTGAACTTTTAACGTGATCTGAGGAAGCTCCAAAGGGGAGTAAGTGGATGAGAGGAGGTGTTTCCCACAGTGGGTCTGCAGCAGGAGGAGTAATGATTAGGCTGTGGGAACTTACAGAGTAACCTCTGGGTTGGTTCCTGGGTGTTCCCACTCACTGGGATGTCCTGTTAAAGTTCATCTGCTTGAAATTAGGGCATGGGGGCATGTAAGAGTTTCCTCAAAGAACTGAGGAAAGTCTGTTAGATTAAGAATACAGCATGTGGCAGTGTAAGAACTGGAGAGTACACTCATTTTCAGGGAAAATGAAACAGGCTCACAAGGCCATCTGAGGCTGCATTTCCCTACGAGACGTGGGATTTTACACCCTCTACCACTAACAAGCAGGCAGGACTGAGTCCAGCAGCATGAGCCTTTGTGCAGCTCCCATCCCACTCCTAGCTGCTGGCTCCGTCCACATCATCCCTGAATTTTCATTACTGTGCACCACACGAGAATATGAGTTTTCTAGCAAACAAAACCATCATCACAATTGAAAGGTCACTTGGCAGCCCTAAGCTATACATCGTTTTAGATGGGGGAATCAATTTGAGGCCCAAATTATCACAATGCAACTAAGTAGGACAAAGAGAAGACATTTTTTCAAGTCCAAAATCCTAATTTAGCTTCATCCACTGCCCTCCACTATCTCCTCACTCCTGTTTTATTTGTGCTGAGCCAAACCCACTCCTAGCAGCACACTTACCCACATTAACTTCACATAATGTAGTTGCTTGGCCCTTCCCTGCCCTGTGTATGTTTTGTGATTTTTTCCTTCTCCTGCACAAGGGACTGGGATGTATTGTGCAGGAACACATCAAGCACAGTCTCACTTTTCTCATGGAAATCAACAGATCAGAACATGGGCAATAAACTACATGCCCAGCCCTTGTGCATCAATAGACTAGGTCACTCGCAAAGAGCTTCACATCCACCCCTTACTTATTTTTTATTTTGAGGAAGGGTCTCCCTATTTTACCCCGGGGAGGCTCAAAATTGATGGGTTTGGGCACAGGTGGAAGCCTGCTGAATCACCATGGCGTCCCCCCAAGATGGCGACGAGCCCAAGTCCACAGCCTCTTCAGCTTCTTCCCAGGCCTTCTGCCATCCCTTCCTGAGCATGCCAAGAAGTCACCAGCGAGCCGTAGCTCTGTCATCACCCTGCCTCCCAAAAACTATAAAAGCAGCTGCCATCCTTTGTGTGGTCAGATGATTCTCACATCTCTTTATCTGCTGTCCTCCCATGCCCGCAATAAAAGCCTCTTTTATATTTCCTGTAAAAAAAGAAAAAACCTAACAAAACTTATAATCTTTCTGCCTCAACTTTGCAAAGTATCAGAACTGAAGGCGCACTCCATCAAGCCCAGTTCTCTTAGCTTTATTATTGTATGAGTAATCTGAAAGCTCACAGTGTGTGAAGACACTAATTTAAACTAAGAATTTTCAAAATATGTATTGGCAGAAAAATGGATCAATTAAAACAATAATAGCACTCCAGATAACAAGTATACAGTAGGAAAAATTTACAGCAATGTATTTTTAATAGCAATATGGATAATCACCAAATGATGGCAAAATTTAACTCAGAAGACAAGAAAGGAAATAGGAGACTATTGGAAAGACACACACCCTGTTTCAGACATTGTTAACCAGGATTTATTTGTACAACCTGTAAAGGGTTAACAGAATTCTGTGCCTTAACTGTGGGAAATTATTTTTTAAAAAACCCAACCCTTGTGCTTCCTGTTATCTACTCAAAGAAATGTATTCTCCCTCTCTGCTCAAGGCTGTTTAACAATAAATAATTGTTTCCTTTCAAGGCAACAAGCTGAAACAAACCCTTTCCCTCACCATCTCCTGTAACGTGGTCAGCTTAAGATGTATCTCGTAAAAGTATGCACTTAGCACTAAGCTGTGAAAGACCCTTTAGTTATGAACAATTTGCATCTGTGTCAAGTGAATGTTGTTTCTGTTGTTCTGTGCTAGATAACAAATTTGCTTACCAAACTGGATGTGATTTCTGTTATAAATACCCCGCTGCTACCTATGTTTGGGTGCTGATCAGTCTTCTCTTGTGTGAGAAGTGGCTGACGGACCTGAGCTCAGTAAGTAAAAGGCTCTATTCAAATTTCTATCTGGCTGATCTGGTTCCTATGCAGAGTGACCCATAACATTTGGGGGCTCATCCAGGATCCCCTTTACTGGGGATTAATCATAGGAACCAGAGTCTTTGGAAACCATTTCCCTGGGGGAACTTTCTGGCCCTGGGACGGTCTCCAAAAACTCATAAATCTTAACATTCAAACCGACTAGGCTGAGCCATGTGAAAGATCTCACCAGTAAGATATTTGTATCTATTTGATTGGGGTACCCCCTCTGAGAGTCAGCAGCGACTGCTTTCCATGATGACGGATCAGAGTCTCAGGTCTGTTTCTGTTTCATTTTTGTGTGTTTCAGCCTATTGTTGTTAGTCTAATAACCATGGGGCAACGTGCTTCTGCTTCTGTGTCGTCTTTACAGTGTATTCTTGATCATTCCCAGGAATTCTGATGTCCAGCTGCTGACTACAGAGAACTTGTCTCCCTGGGGACTCTCTGCACCTTGTGTGACCTGGAGCAGAGGGCTCTTTTAATATCTTCCTTGCTTATCAGGTTCACAGGGTCATATTTGAAAAGCCGGGACATCCTGATCAAGTCTCATCTATCCAAGCATGGATAGATTTATTACAGGACACTCCAAAGTGCATGAAGACCTGTTGCCGTGCCTGGGCATCATGCTGAGGCACCTCTGGTATGGTGGTGCTGGATGCTGCTCCAGAAAAGGATCCTCGAGGTCCTAAAAGGCCGCCTCTGCTGCCCCGGATATCTGAATCCCTGACTCTCCCCGTTTACCCTAAAGTGTCCCATCCCTCTAAACCCTTTGGCTCTGGCTAGCCCTGACTCCTCCACTCCTCTGAGTCCACCGCACACCCGAAGCAGACTGCCCTTTTCTCAGCCCCTGCCATCTGACCCTGATCCTTTTCCAACCTCAGCACCAGCCTCAGTACTTCCTCTCCGTGAACAATTGGATGGAGATGACCACCTTTTCATGGTTTATGTCTTCTTCTCAACTAGTGATTTATATAACTGGAAAAACCAGAACCCCTCTTTCTCTCAGAACCCCTGAGGGTTTATATCTGTTCTAGAATCTGTTTTCTTCAGCAATCAGCCCACTTGGGATGATTGCCAACAGCTTTTACAGACCCTCTTCACATCTGAAGAGTGAG